GGGGGGGGGAGAGAAAAAGAGATGCAGAAATAAAAATAAATAAATTGATAAATATATAATTAACTATGGCTGTAAGATTAATGTTTCTTGTTGTATCATATCCAATTATTTAATCAAATTTGCATATCGCGAAACGAATATTTTCATAATAAAAATGCAGGTTAAATATAATTGTTGTCTTTGTAGTGTTCATTTAAATGTAATGCAAAATTTCAATTAAGTATTAACTATTCTCTACTAACTATACTCTACTAATTATAACATACACGTTGATAATTCTACAGAACTGACGAATAATTATGAATTTTAATAATATTTTCTAAGAGAATCATCTACTCGCAACGATATAAACGTACTAAGTGTATCGTATCTAAGACTATCACATATACATATATAGAATAATTTGAATTCCTGAACTATTAAAACAAACTTATTAAAAAACGAACGCATTGCTAATTTATGCGTTTTAGTTTTTGTGCTAATATTAACTATTCTAGAAACATTCGACAGAATTACCGATTAAAAAAAAAACGATCAAGAAATGTTGACACGGTCCACTTAATGTTTTATAATTGGTATTTTTACAGAGGAGAGCGACATCTTGAATTCCTCACGAAAAAGTTTCTTAATATCAGCATAGAATTGAAAATATAACATATAAGATATTGTTGTTGTTTTTATACAACACTTATTGTTAGAATATCTCGTTTAATCTAAGAAATCCTGACGTCAATTGTAATAATTTTAGTTACATTTTTTATTCGATTTGTAAAAGACATAGCCTGAATATAATATCCCGAAAATATCATCGTCGCTTCTCCGTGACACTGATTAGTTGTCAATCGCGTGCGCAAAATTCAAGCCAGTGATGAATATTGGCAGATTGACATTTAGCGGTTGACTGAATACTGAGAAACGGTCGATAAAGAGCAAATAATAAAATGTTATATAAAATATTAAATGTCATGTAAAATAAAAAAAATATTGGAGATAATAAATAGATTTTATTACAGAATAATGAAATATATATCAAACTTTTATTTTGCATTTTTGCTTTAATTTTTCTCTAGCGTATTTCCTAAAAGTTGAAAAGACCAATTTATTTGCGAATTGTCGTACATCAAAAATTTAATTATAAATTATAATAAATTGTTCATCTTTTCAAGTTAAGCAATTCTTGCCCGCTATCAATACTCAATATCAATTGCAGTATTTTGATATTTAATGACATTTACCAATATTTTTAGTTATTTACGAATATCACTTGTATGATAATAACAATAGAGACAGAATCATACATTGTATTAATTGATTTATCGTTTATACCTATCGCAAATGATCATCTATACCGCTGTTTTTAAATGATTAAAGGGTAGAAATGAAATATCAATTAGATGCTAAAAATAACGTTGCAAATTACAAGAAATATATTTATAGATCTCCCATTTATGTTGCTCATCAATTTTAAATATTATATTTTAATTTTAATTATAAAATAATTATCAGATATCAATATTACATAGACGAAATTCACGATTGTCGCTCACTGCCACGATTACCAACGATCATCTTCAAGCGAGAACGTCTCGCTTCTTAAGACGAGCGCGAGTATGAAGCGCTATCGTTCGTAAGAAAGAGGACGACAAAAAGCGTCTGCACGACGCCGCGACGGCACGGATACGGTTCATACGGTGTGGGCTGCGGGAAAATCGGCAGACAGAGAGCAAGTAAAAAAAAAAAACGAAGGAGAATCGCGAAGGAGGATCGTGTTATGCGGAATCGAATGTGGAGTCGTAAAGGGGGTTGGAAATGTGAATGTTTCGCAACCTTGCCCATACGGGGGTGCGAAGCTTCCGTTTCTGGGTTACCACCGTGTGGCCCTGTGGTCCGTCTGGATCCAAGCCGCCCCCTAGGGATGAAGACGTCAGGCCCGCCCCCCTACGTGATGACCGAGTGCACTCATTCCCGCCTGAACTCACCCTGCGGTAGTGCTTGTTAGTTCATGTGTAAAAAAGATTAGAATAATACAAGATTACAGTTTTTGCAGTGTACTCTTATTCTCTTTTCATTTTTTGTAATTTTTAATATTACAGCTACGGCATCTCGCACTGCTGCGCGCTCTCATCGACAATTCTTCTCACGTTGCAATAAATCTAGTGTATGTTACAATAAATCTAGAGTTAGAATAAAATAGGATACATTCGATGCGTCGTGCTTCACGGCTGCATAGTGTCCTGAAAACAAAGATTGTGGCAAAAACAAGATATGTAAGCGAACTAATCGCATTTCCGTTGCTTCCACACAATTCATCGCAATTGCGTGAGCGAAAAATTAGAAAAAAGTGGTCAGGCATTTAGCTTGAAGCGTCGAAATCTTCATTTCGAAGAAGAGACTCTTGATTTCTTTTTAATCTTCGGAACGGAGAAGAGGTATTTAAGGTGTAAGTAGCCAACTGCGTGTAGTAACTATCACGCATTTGATGCACGTATCACACAGGAATATATCATATCTCTCGTCGTATATAATGCGTGATGCTCGGTATACCGTGGATAGAAATTTTTCGCAAGTAATGTTAGAAAAAGAAAATAAAAACTTTGTCTTTGTTTATTCATATGAATTTAGGCGTAAAAAATGAGCTTCGCAAAAGTACTTAATAAAAGATGCGCATCTTGAAATTATTAGGTGTGAAAATTTGTAAAATTTATAAAATCATGGGGTTTAGTATTGACTACAAAGTGATAAATTATCAAAAGTAGTAAGTTAATCCGTTTAGCTATTCAAACTTGAAAAAATGTATAAAACGAGCTAATTGTAATAACATGGAAAACGGTGTTAGAAATCAAAATTCACTTGCCTCCTGTGAGGACTAAACTCACGACCCCCGGTTTCACGAGACCAGTTCTCTACCATAAGTTAAAGAGCTAAAGAGGCGTCGACATCAATTCTTCTCGAGCGAATTCCCACAGGAACGATTCTGTATAGGAATCCGAGGAACATTCCTGACTTTCAGACCGTGTTGTAAAGTTACGTGCGATTTGTTCAAGTTAGAAAATATCGACCCTCTAAAGTCACATAAGGTTTATCGCTTATATGATTGATCCCGCTTGCGCGCATATGCGGGAAGCGGCTTTTGTCCTTCATGGCCAGCTGAATCTTTGATCGTCCAATAATTGAACAGCTAGGGGTTGTGAGTTTCATCCGGCACGACGCATCGCGAAAACGGAAAGTTCTCATTGCAAATTGGGAAGCATTGAATTTTTAAGTTGTACCTAATAAAGGGGGAAAGCGATAGTGTTGTGTTAAAGGTCACGTCGCGACTGCATAGTAACGAAATAGATAATTAATAGTTAATTTCAATTCCGCTGCGAACGTCATGTCTCGTGAAACAGTCAAATCACTCAGCATTACTGATCATGTAAAACGCAAAAACGGTCGGTTACATACATATATTCATACGTACACGTCTGATCGACACCTAAATACCACCCCACATTAATAAATAAATTATATCGGGATAGCCTTTGAATTAATCTCGTTAGATATTTTGTCAGATATCCAACTACGGTTGTATCAACAATATCTACAAAAGGGAGTCGTTATTAACTGCAAGATTTAGAATGTTAAGACCGTTAGGATGCCTAACAGTGCCTGTAAATTTTAGCAAAAAAGAAAAAAGAAAGCAAAAGTACTTGAAATAGTTGCAGATAATGATTAATATAGAGATACTGTTGCTTTTCATTCGTTTGTGAGAGATTTGGAATTCTCACTCAAAAAGAAACTTACTTGGTCTCGTCGATGAAAACAGTCTCGAGTACGCGAGCTGCGTAATGCAAGTTTCGTTGAAGTAATTCGGCGGATATTTCCCCATGTTGTAGCTGCCTCAATAAACACCTCAATCTGCAAAAGAGAGGTATTTCGGAGAGCCGTTCCCTGTGCGCCAATAACGTGCCTTCTAAACTAGACGTTCGCTTCCAATCGTTTTCCAATAATTACGCGACAAGTCGAGATTGCAAACGCAATTCTATTTAACCATTGGAGGATCAAAAGAATAAATATTTTCTTTGACGTGGGGTTTTCTTATATTAAATAAAAAATATTTAGCGCGCGAAAAAGTAGACAAAATGTTACAAATGTACTTTACAAAAATCATAATTAAACACAAAATTGATAGCTTTATAAAAATTATAAACTGCGCGCAAAGAATGCTGAATCATAATATTAACAAGCCGATAAATTATCATGTTAATTATATAATTTGCAAATTATAAAGGCTAATAATTACGATATGTTAGCGCGCCGTGCCATTCAAATATTATGTAAAAAATATGCACCAATAATAATGATTATTTAATTCAATACAACATGTCGCGTTATATAGAAGTTAGTAAATTACAATACAGCAAGGTGCGTTATTATATTATCTTTTAATATACCAGAATCGCGAATTATCTATTTGTTTGAGATTGGTAAACCTCTACCTAGATCTAAAATATCACATTTGTAAAGCCATTAACACGACGACATAATACCTGAGGGCAGCTTTATCGCATGCGTCGGGAGTGTCAACGGCAGGAAGTGAATCTGTCGAAAGATCGATATTATCGAGAATCTCTTCGAGATCGACGGATTGACCCGATAAATATGAAGTGTCGGGATTGTGCGGTGGTGGAGAATTTTCAAAATTCCCACCGCTGAGGCTTTTGCTTTTGCCGGAACTTCGGCGTACTATCGTCAAAGTGCCCTGTTCTGAAATAAAATGAGCGTAATCGTTTCTATTATTGCGAATGGAAGGACATGTGGAATTATGAAGGTTTTTCAAGGAATCCGACGCGTATCGTAGAACAATGACTTATTGTTAGTCATTTTGAAAAATAAATAAAAGAAAGTTTTTATCAAAATTCTAATTAATTTTATCTTAATTATATATATAACTATTTTATATTTCGCAAAATTATTGTCATATAAAAATAATTTTACTTCAAAAATTGAGATTTTTACATTCAATTTTTTCTGTCTGACCGACTCACACGATTGTTCTATCAAATAGTTTGTGTGTATATTACATACTGTGACAATACGAATATCAGAGAACTTTGTAGCTGGTCGAAAAAAAGATTTTGTTTTTGGAAGAAATGTATACGCGTGTAGATATTTACAGACACGTCGATAAATGCACAGATACACATGTTTGTGTGAGCGTGCAAGTAGATCAAGTCCAACTATATCTAGGGGAAGCGTATCTCGGGGGGTAATACCTCGAAAACTTACTGGAGAGTTGGCCATTCCGACCAGGAGAAGAGGAGGGATTGCGCGACCTCGAGGATGCTGCTGCGCCGCTTGTGCTGCTGCAGCCGGTAGCAGCCGCATTGTTTACCGCTACACCGGCTGAGGCTACCCCGATATCGTCTCTTGTGACTCGTCTATCTGGCGGAGATGCAACTGCAATTTCAAAAAACGAGAATAATAAAACGATAATATATAACTTTATCATTGCAGCCGATCGGTTAACTTTGTGTCACAAGTACGTGCCGACAAAATTAACGTGCGAAAGTGTACCTACGCGGTGCGTGCACTTGTACGCATTCATTAATCAATGCGGGTGAATCGGAAAATTATTATAGGGCATACACATCATATCTATTCCGAGTGGTTAATTTCTTTTTAATCTGCTTCTATCTGTGAGACTTTATGACCTTATCCAAGCAATAATGTACGACCAAAAAGATTACGCAAGTAGTGAATATCTAAATATCACAGAATGAACATACACCTAATAATGGCAATATATTGTATATTCAAAATATACATATGTCTACCTGAATTTTTTGTTACTTAGTGACGGGTTCATTGACGTTACTTCTTTTATTATATGCGCTGTATTTGCCTCACAAATAATTACATGCTTGTCATGTATTATTAAATAATATTAGTGAGTGGTATTTCGTAGATCGTTACCTGCATTTTCATTCGTTTATATATATGTTATATATATGTATACTTTCATAAAATAAATTGCACGATGCATATAACAGTGTGATAATCATCATCCATTAAGTTAATGAAAAAGTTTACGCATTATGTGTCAGAAAAAATTGAAAAAATATTTCTTTTTTTACTATGTATTTTTTTCTGTACTTGAGGTCTATTCTCGAACATATTCGTCATGAGAATTTCCAATTGAAATATATATATTTTTTTTTGTTATTTTCCTTCCTTGATAACAAGGGAAAAAAAATAATGCTAAAATCTTAGAAAAGATTTCGTTCTTTTTCATAATGCCCAGAACTTTACGGATCCACATAGAGAAGATAAGTAGTAACATGTTTACAACTATCTATAATCCATTGATCTATTGAAAGTTATCATTTTATATTCATAGAAGAGATAGAATTCTCGCTATAACGAAGATGAACATTATATATTAATATTAACTTTTTTTCAGCCAGTATAAAGAGCAATCGCATCGAAGAAAATCACATAAGATGTATTTTAGTAAAAATATGTATCACATGTCTCAATTAAATAAATTAAAATTTTTGAAGAAGATAATTTAAACCGCAAGATTAAAAATCCATTTATAGTATATTCATATGTGATATAATAATAGCATACGTTCAAATATAATGTTTTGCTAATTATTATATAAATAAATAAAAACATTTGAAATTTTGAAAGAGTCATTATGCGAATGTGATTTCAAATTTGAAGTTTACATCACTGATGTGTGGTTTTACGAGAGGTTTTATTCAATGACGGTATTCTATTTCTAGAACATTGAGACTGAAGAAATTCTCTAGGCTCTCTAACTAACGGAAAATAATTAGCATGAGTATGAATGATTAGTTTTTATGATAATTAAAAATATACATGATTTTTCCATCAAAAATCATTTTCTACGTGTTTATATCAATATGTTATTTTTACAAGAGAAAAGTGTTTAAAGTGCTATTAAATATGTAGAACAATTTTTTTATCTTTTTACAGAACCATAAAAATTTATGCATAAATTTCATATTTTATAAGTTGCCATTACATAATTATAATTATTAAATGATTTGCATACATATATATGTTTAATTGTAAGTCATAATCACACTATCTACCTATAGATGCTATAAAGTACAAGATAATCCAGAAGTTTTATCGATTTTAACACGTGTATTTTGGAGTCTTTCATTATTAGTGAGACGCCTTATTGACGCCAAAAACACGTACTTGCCACTTTGGGCCAATAAGAAGATAACAAGGAACTTGTGGAAACTAATTTTCGAGCTATTATTTCCCTTGGACGTCTCTGCCTGTTTGCAACGTGATTACTCTATACGTTACTAATTACACATATGTATAGCCAAGACAAAGCGGATCGAAATGCAAACCTTGTCTACGCATGAGTTAGGTCTCGCTCAAGACTTGATTATCATGGGATTTATAATGGGATTTACATTGCTTATAATTTTTAGCTAAATATACGCGTTTAAAAGCATAATTATATAAAGTAGTTATATTTTGCATTGATCTTATCGTGTACGTATATTTTACCCTATAGTTTCTATATTATCTAAATTATCATTTATGATATTTATAATACATATTATAAACATTATTATGTATCTAGTAATTCTAGTATATAAAATACATACACGTAGCGTAGCGTGCCTATGTTGAAGCGTAAGGAAGGGAGAGCATACTTTTGGTAAAAATAAAAATGTAATTAAAAAAAAGAGGCAAATATGAATTTTGTGCTCTGTATAACACTAAATGCATACATTTTGTCATTGCTTCGCAGTTTCATGTATTATTCAAGCGAAATGCAATAATTCACGTATGTTCGCGTCTGTTTGCTTATCCGCTTACAGCGAATAATTTCATAACCAATCATCGCGCACCGTCGTACTTCTATCGGTGTTCGAAGGTGTTTTTGAAAAGAGAAGGGAAGGAGAGAGAAAGAGGGATGGGATAGCGCAAAATTATTAGCCAAAAATGTACATCGTACAGCTTTCATCGTTGCGATGAAAAAGCGGAATGATAATTCCGAGATTTTACCTAAATTTCAAGGCAATTTTGTTCGTTTATTTTTTTTATGTAGACACATCTTGCGTCTATATAAAAAATATAGACGAAAACTTTTATTACTGTTTCTTTCCTCAAAATAAGAAAAATGTAAGTTACATCACTACTCCATAGAATTGCTTGCATATTTTTATAAAATTAAATCTCATGTTCGCGTATGCGATTATTTTTGACCAAAGTGCTTTATGATTTAATGCTGTGTATATTATAATACAAATATAAAGATAACAAATTCCTAAAACCTAAAAAAATTTACTAAAAATAATTTATATACGTAATAACACTTTTATTTTGGAAATTATTTCTAACAAATGTTTTAAATGCGTTATCTAAAAGTTATATACAACATAATGAATAATTAAATCGACAGTGTGTGATAAAGAATAAATTTTTAAATTAATATTTATTAAATTATTATATTTTTAAAATTGATTTCTATCGTTAGGACAAATGTAAAGGTCCGTTGATAAACTATTTATTAAATTTAAAATGGCAATGCAGTACATGTGGCTGACAATGCTGCGAACAATGCTGTTTGATTAATTGCAAGTCTTTAAACATAATTATGCATATGATTATGTTTGCATCCAGATTTGACGGATTTGCCGCATGACGGAAATGAAAATACATTATGTTGTATAATAATTCCATTTTAACCGCTGAATTATATTATTTTATTAGCTTTGATTTTGTTTTATCAAGTAGTGAAGATGATTTAATTTCGTTAAATTCATCTTTTAGTCTCATCTAAATTATACTACTCTTACTTTTTATTTTGTATTCTTTTTTCTTTTTACTTATTTGCTATCTAAGAGATGTCATATTAAAAAATGAATGTGTTTTTTGAATATCCGCTGTTAAATTATTATTACATTAACAAAGAATAACTAATTTTTTATAAATTTATGATGGGTTTATTTTTGTGATCTTTAATATAAATGCTCATGTTTAATTTTTATTTCCGTTAGATTTTTTATGGTAAAACGATTCTCGACGATTAGAAACACTTCAACTTGTGATTATTATAATGTGACCGTTGGTCTCGTACCTATACGATCGATCGGATATGAGATTAATTCGCGAGCTATAGACAGGTGCTACCGATCGATAGCTACTCGGCCATCGCGGTTTTACTGCAGTGATAGCTGCTTGGCCTTATACACTTTGTAACATTTGTCAAATTAATTACGGTAATATACATTTGATGATTTTGTAATGTAGCATTTGTGACGTTACATTACGACATTACCATTACATGCAATATGACAATAGACGTGTTAATTAGATGTATCTTCGAAAGCTTAACGGCATCAAAGCAAAACGTATACATATATCTAAAGCATTTGAAATGTGAAATCCACATTTGAATGTGTAAAACATTCGAGATTTGTGAAAACCTTATCATTTCATCATCTATCTTCTCACAGATTTGTAAGACTTCGACTTGCGAGTTTTTGTACACTCTATATTTATATGTATGTGATAAGTTATGTATATCGAACTATTTAAACAGCAATATTGCAGTTATTTTCTCCTGAGTGTCATTTGAATGCAATTTAGAATATATATAAATTATTTTCAGTGATATCCTTGATATCAAATTGCTTGGCATATGAAAGTTTCTTCGAAAGATGGAATATAATAGTATTGCATTAGAAATTGAAAATGTAAAACTCTTTGGAAAAGCTTATCTTATTCCGCCATAAACTTACTTGCGTGACAGGAAAGATGAAAAGCTCTCTCTTCTACCGATTTAATTTTCACACATTAAAGAGAGCATTAGAAACATACTGTCGATTTAAACTCGTTTTTCTTGTCCGTGTGTAATAAGAAGTTTTTTAAAAATATATTTCAAATTTATAAATTCATCTTATTAAGATCTCTATTAAAGCCAGCCTGTAAAGATGAAAGCTATTTCGACATTACAAAACTGTGAACATTGAACTATACGTCCAATTCCATTGAAAAATTGATAATGGTGGATGTACTATACGATAAGCTCTTATCGGTCGCTGCAGCAGCTTAATTCAATTAATAAGGCGAATGAGATAAAGCAGGAAATCCCCTTCCAATATCTATTGTCGATAGAAAATATTCAAGGCTGAAATTTTATTGAAAAAAGAAAATGTAATTCCAATATCAATGGCTACTAACAAGTTAGCATTTAGTTCGTGTATCAATTAGTATAGCGAATGAAAATTTGCTTCTTGAAATACATTTGTAATACATACACAGGGAAAAAGCCTGAACTCTCAACAATATATTAAATTCAATTAATTTAGATCGTCATTAATTTCTAAAAAGAAATAAACGATATGATTGTTCACGGCAATTCTTTTTAATTAATATCAAAAAGTTGTAAATTAGCGATTGGAAGATTACATTAATTATATATAAGATTTCTATGTATCTATTTCTATATGTTTCTTTTGTTATTGCAAAATCTAGTAAAAAATTTTAAATTTTTAAATTTATCGGCTTATTGATTTTATTGAATCTTTCGAGGATATGTTGACTTTATCTCCACCAAGTTCGGCTGGAACGTGATCAGAATCGAGCGCAGCTACTTTCGAAAATTTGAGACGTGACCTTTGTCAAAGAATAATAACAAAAGATTATAAGAAAAGTAAAATCATGTCAGTTGCAGTTTTAAAGGACAACTGCAGCATTCATATTTGTGTACCACATATGTATAACATATTCGAGCACGCAAACTGAAAAGATGCGCATACCTGGATTATTGATTATCGAAAGACGGATATACCTCTAGACTTTATGTCTGGCAAAGACTTTAATTCGAATGCGATTCGTTCGCCGGATTCTGCCTATGTTTTATTGTCTCGTTTTTCATTCCTTTCGTCGCCCACCGTACTGTGAGCGATGTAACGCTCGTAGAGGTACACTACTGCACTAAATATAGCGACATTCAGCAAATCTGATTTCCGATCGCGGCCGCTGGATAGTAGTAAAACCAGACGTATGCAGACGATTATGCATTTTGTGCTTGTCTGCAGCATAGCAGGCATTGGCTATATGGTCACATGTGAAATTCAGTCTTGCATCCGAGAACGAGCTACGCTCGACATGCGTATTTGCATTTCTGAATAATGCAAACTCTTAACGTCGTTTTCTACTAGACTGTCGAGAAATAAATATCGTCACGTGTGCCATAACTCGCGATGTTGTGCATAATATCTTTTCGATTAAATGAAATCGATCATGCGTATTCATTCTGAATCTTATACAATCTCAGAGAAAGGGGAGATAATCACTCCCTCTCCCTTTTTAAATAAAAACTCAGGCAATTTTGTTTTGTATAACTATCTGATTGTGAGAAAATAGAAGTCAAAACAATTGTGCAAATTTAAATTGTTAATTTATCTTCATTTTAAATATTTTAGATCGTACGTGTATCGCAATGCAGATCAGATTTTCTGCAGCAGTTAACGACAAAAAACGACTTGAACGATATTTCTTTTGAGTCAATTCAGCTGTAAGCTCTTCTTTTTATACAGTGACTCTATATTTTTATTGTTCATTATCCGATTAATTTACATTGTATCGTATAAAACGACACGGTACATTTTTAATCTATTTATTAACATTAAAACGAAGTGAACTTTGGGAGCATTTTCCGGGTGCTATATTAAACATCGCGCAATCGCGCAAATGTTTTTAGGTCACAAGATTGAATTTTTGTTTAAAACTCTCTACTAGCCACGTCCACGTAACGCTACTACGCTAAGAGAAAACATTTTCTATTTCATCTACCACATACACATTTGTATTTTCAAATAAAAAATAAAATAACAAAGACAATTGTTATGGACTGATTTGTTATGATTTGTTATGATAAATTATAACAAATTACGGCTATTGTATTTGCAGAAATATACATACATATATACCTATTGTAATATTCTTTTCAACATATAAGTTCAACATATGTATATAAAACTGGTCGACATGATAGATGCGAATTGGGTTTCTCAAGTTATTTCCTGTAGATTTTTGGACGTTGAATACGAATCTAGCCGTAAAATTGCACTATCACGTCAAATTTACGAGATAATTCCGGATTAAAAAGGCCAAAGATAGCGTTTTAGGAAATGTTCATGTATTCATTTAGAGAACATTGTTTTTTTTTATAGTTTCTTCCTACGCTATCACATAGTATTAGTCTTGAACTACAAAATTCATTTTAAATCGTCCTCGATTTTTTGTCCTAGATATATATACAACATTTGAGATGTTGCATATACAAGGTTTGCAACGGTTTATGAATACACACAATATATGTATGTGTTGCACACAATTTTAATCTTCTATCTAAATTTTTACATAACGTAAAAAATATAGGTAAATATGTATGTAAGCGTTGCAAACCTTGTATCTTATTGTTAAATGTTGTATGTCTTGGACAAAAAAAATTGTACGAAGACGATTCAAAATGGATTTTGTCGTTCAAGACTAATACTATGTAATAGCGTAGGAAGAAACTATAGAAAAATCAGTGTTCTCTAAATAAATATATGAACATTAATCTAAAACGCCATCTTTCGGCTCTTTTAACCTGATTTTTGATCTTGTAAACCTGAAGTGATAGAGCAACTTTACGACCAGATTCGTATTCAGCGCCCAAAAATCTACGAGAAATAATTTGAAAAACTCAATCCGCATCTATCATGTCGACCAGTGTAATCTTTAAACAGACAATGATAAAATATGTGAAACGTCTCCTATAGGAAAAAAAGACATAATAAAATTAAAATAAATATAATGACATAAATATATAGTGACGTATGTACTGATTTACGCTTTAGATAAAATAATATTGTCTTAGAAAAAAGGAATTATAGATACAAAATATTAATTAAAAAGTATCTTTTTTAGATATAAATGTCGTATAAAAAGACTAGCGGGACCAAAGGATAGAAATAAATATTTACGCAATGCAGATATTGCACACGCGTTATATTGCATATATAACGCGCGCTATCTTTCAGTTATTATCGCTGATTAAATTTTTGTCGAAAATAATTAATATTATCAAAATTAATTTTTGATAATTTTTTTATTACATTGTCATATTGTATGTCTATACTGGCATGTCAATACGCATAAATCTATAATAATGTCCGGATAATTATTTTTATTATAAAACTTGAAATTTTTTAAAAAGTAGCAATAATAGGGCAATAATGAGCCTTGGTGTTAGTACTAATTTTACATCATAGTATATTTATAATATAAAATTCTTTTAACAAGCCAAACGTTTCGGTTCCACATTGAAAATACAAAGAAAATAACTAATTTGGTCGCAGTAGAATTATATTTAAAAAAAAACGGTTGTTTTTTCCGGTCACATTCGATGAGTTTTGCGTATAATTTTCAGTTCATGTGTCCAACAATAATTTGCTAAAAGAATTTTATATTACATATATTGTAATGTAATTAGTATATATTTAACACCATGTGCAAGGCTCATTTGCCCTATTATTGTTACTTCTTTAAATTTTTAATTCTCTGAGCCTTTCAGACACTTAATTATTTTTTTAATTTTTCTCATATCTAATTGCACCAATTTTGATGTCGTCCTTCATCATATTTCGAGATATTATTTTGACAAATGAACAAATTTAATTGCATGGAATTATAGAATTTATAAAAATAACTTGTATCGAAAATAAGATTATTTGTAAGAGCAATGTATTTAGTATATATTATAGGATTTATTAATCTTAAAATATCTCTTACCGTTAGTTTTCTATTGTAAAATATATTAAATTTATGTAAAACAATTTTTTTATTTGAAATTAATTTACTGCTTACGTTATTAATCAACGATGTGATAATAATGTATATTAGATATCAAACTGATACTAGTATGATGTCATCATTTATATCAAGAAATCTCTTTAATCTCACCGGAAATATAAAACATTATCTCTCTGACATTATACCAGTGTTTCAGAAACAGTATTCCGTAAAATTTTTCCCCCCCAAAAAAAGAAGAAAATATTTGTTTGTGTCATCGTTTTAATTGATATTTTAATTATAGCATAGATTAAAGCATTTTCTATATTAAATAGATATATACAAGAATAATAATTTTCATGGTCAAAAAATCTATGCTTTAAATTTTAATGAAAGTTCCTTTCACTTCATTAAAAATATTCACTCTGAATTAATCAAAAGATCTTTCATGAAAAATTAATGTACTTAAAGTAGGTAATCCTGCGTACATGTACGTATTATATATTTTGTATATATTCTATTAATTATTTAATTTTCTGTCATTTTGAGAAACACTGCTTTAGTTGTTGTATTTGTATTTGTATTGATGGTTTCCTATCTTGGAGAGTGGAAGAGTTAGATAAAAGACAAAGATATACATCTTGTGATTAGACACATATTAATATGTCGTCATATCTCCGCACAGGATTCATCAGTTGTATGCGTGAAACTACCTGATTGTAATTACATAATAGCAGCTATAAAAGAGGAAAGATTTGTTTATTCTACAACAGTAGATCATATAGCAAGTGTCCGAGAAGTAAGCATTCGTGCCAATAAATTGTCGTAAGTAAGTACGCAAATTTGTAGAAACAATTTAACTCTGATAGTTACCATTTTACAAAGTTTATAATAGTACAGTAATAAAAAGTAATTAAGTGGCTGTTATTTCGAGGTGTTTCAAAATATACAGATAGATGTAAGAATGAAATGATAAAAGACATGAGATGTCTTCTAATATTTTAGAGATAATTTTATTATTTATTTCACTTTTAAAGAATTAGAAAATATACATTTAAGAAATTGTTAAACGTGTCATAATAACCTTGTAATAAATTCGATTTAAAATACACTTACTATATTATCATTTTGCTATTTTGAAACTGCAGAAATATAACGAGATAATTATTTATACAGATGTATTTATACAGATGTATTTATACAGATGTATTTATACAAATGTATTTATACAGATTTATATAATACATTGCAAAATTGTGTGTTTGTCATATGGATATTATACATATATGCCATGTTCCCGATTTCAGTCTACCTTAAATTCATATTCAGGTAATACTTGCGAACAGATGAGAAAATATATTTGAATCAAAAAGCTTTTAAGTTTTGTTTACGTCTTTTGATGAAGCATTTGGAAAATAATCTGCAGATTATGTAGTTTTGTGATATTGTTGCAATACAAGTGTAAAAAGTTTCAAGTACTATATAGCCATTAAACAAATAAATATTTATCTCAAAAGTTGTTAATATTTAAAAACACATACGATTCATTATTAAATATATTACATTTTTGTAGAACTGTTAAAAAAACAACACAAATCTGTCTGCTTAAATAAATTAAGTTTTATCATTATATCAAGTTACTTTTTTTACTTTTAAAATTCAGTTCTCTCGACTTCATTTCTCATAAATCTAACGTTAAACCTCCATCTTTTATCTCCTACCTTATCGTTTGAAATAAATGATAAATAAACGATTGATGCTATATTTATTTAGAGAATAATCCTCTATGCAGATAAATTAGAAATTTATTTATGTTATCACATGAATAATTCTTTACAATGTATTTTTAAGCTCCAGTAAAGATGAAGGGTATAATAACGTTAATGTTTTGTGCGGTACTACTATTGTCTAATTTCGGGTATAGTAAATCTGATCCAGAATGGTGGCAGTCCATGTCCCTTTATCAAATTTATCCCAGAAGCTTCAAGGATAGCGATGGTGATGGTATCGGAGATCTTAAAGGTAGGTACTTTTCAAAGATTTTTTCATTTACAGTAAAATCATAGACGTAATTATTACCTTCTAGATGTAATTTCTATGTTCTCTCTTTCTAGAGGTAAAATCCTAAAGATTTAAATTTCTATAATACAAAGAGCAATATAATCATGTATAGAATAAAAATATATATCGCTCTAAATAACATAGCATTTTAAAAAATAAATAATGGTGAATAAATTGTTGTATTCTTATCACTTTGTTAAGCTATCGTTATTATAATTATGTAATGTATATAAATGTTTAGAAAAGAATAAGTAGAGATATTTTAGAAATTTAGAAATTTACAGCTTTTACTTCTAGCAACATATTCTTTGTTGAATATAGAATCGATTTTAAAAATCTTTATAAATTAATTGAAGAGCTTGCTGAAACAATGAGCTAATTCATAACGTAACCGAATATGTGATATTGATGTAGAAATGAATGTGTTTTTCCATTACTTTAACTTTAGAGTTTATTTTCTCTGTTTTTACAAAATATGGATTAACCCATTGTTGCAGGAAGCAACATTCCTTCAATTCCTCTCACCTTTCGGATCATTCGAAACAGGCTAATTATTAAATTTATTGTAAATTTTTTCATAATTGATATTGATATTGACTATCTTGGCAGTTTCGAATCGGTTACGAGTCTACGAAGAAGTTAAGCACACTTATAATTAAACATCTATTTATTTTATCGTACACTAAAAGATTAGTAGAGAAGTGTTTCGTAAATAAAATTCAAATGTTTTGTATCGTACAGGTATCATGAGCAAACTGGAACATCTCACCGAATCGAATGTTGATGCTTTTTGGTTATCTCCGATTTATCCTAGCCCGATGGTCGACTTCGGCTATGATATTTCTGACTTTGTCAATATCGACACGACGTATGGCACTATGGAGGATTTTGAGGCACTCACAAAGGCCACGCATGACGCGTCAATGAAGATCATTATGGATTTCGTTCCTAATCATTCATCGGACCAGCACGAATGGTTCGAAAAAAGTTTGCAAAGCATAGAACCTTACACCAACTATTATGTATGGCATGAAGGCAAGGTGCTGCCGAATGGGACGGTTACGGTGCCGAATAATTGGGTAAGTAATTGAGTAACCTGAAGCTACGTCCGTAACATGACTGAGGCTGACAACGCGAGAGTTGCGAATGTCTTCGTGAATGGCCGTTGTTAAAGTCCGTAAATTAATCCAAGTCTGAATACGCCGCGTGAGCTATCTCGACCTTCAAATTTCAAGTATCCTCTTTCGTGCTGTCTAAACGGAATTAAGATAGCTTTTATTATTAATTTTCTATTACATAGTATAATATAAACAATGTTTAATATTAGAGAAATGTTTGCGCTAGCCCATAGCAATCGAATATCGTATATAAATATTGTGCTTATTAATGATTCACACGCATTATTATAGCAAGATGTATGAATGATCTTGCAGCTATCCGGATTTTACGCTTGAAAAGACATATTTGAAATAAAAAATAGTGTCTCAAGGCACAATAAATTAAAAATAACGTTCTAACAAATATATGTATATATAATTCTAATATAATTGTATAACACCAATTCCGCAAACGTTTCGTGTTAATCTGTTAACGCATAATGTAATTATATAAATGTTAAAAAAACATTACTATGTAGTAGAAACATTTGAGAGGGTAGATTACAGAAATATAATTGATTACTCAAGATATCTGTGATTAATTATTGCGACAAAGACACGAAAAAAAAGAAAAAATTAGAAAAAAGTTAAACTAACATCTATATCTACGTTACAGATAATTTTCAATAAAGATTAAATGTTTCAGCCTGTAATATATCCATCAGACGAAAATCTTAAAAATCTTAATGCGATAAGTTTTTCTTATTCGGTAATTCGTTGTTTGTCGAATCGAATGTAAATTAACAGAATGCGTAACTTCTGAAAATTACTTATTCCTTTGCTGGACATACTGAAGATAATCGACGATCCATGCATCATCGCTGATTATAAGTTTTGTATGCGCGCGCGAAATGTTTCGTCAGTTTTAAAATTATTAGTATCACATAATGTCAAACGGCACGTTTACTCGCGACACACCCAAACTTGTTACATTTCGGTTAGTAAGAATGCAACATTCCTTCGAATATTTCTGGTATACTTGATATCTGTTTTATATCTGTAGTTTTAAAGGTATAATTGTACGATTATCCGCATAGGTGAGCGTGTTTGGCGGATCAGCATGGACCTGGCGTGAAGAACGACAAGCGTATTATTTGCATCAATTCGCATACCAACAACCTGATCTCAACTATGAGAACGAGAACGTGGTAAACGCAATGAAGGTACATATGAAATTATTATTACATTTAAGTTTAGATCAATGTTCCGCGCCAAATTATTTTGACAGATTAATTGAAATTAAAATATAAATAAATTGTTATGTTTCTGTATTGGTAGAATATATTTTGTAAAATTGTAATTTTATAGCAAGAATCTGCGCTAGAGGAATCACGGTGAATTTCTGATTATCCTTAAGACTCGGCTCGTCATAGCTAAACTAGTTTCGTATTTAATAGATAATTTTAAGGCAAAATCCGATAAGTGGCCCACAGCTCGATGTGAAAAAGAATTTTATCAGTATAGATATATACTTAATGAAATATATCCAGTTCTCCCGATCAGAACTTGGATCAAAACTGATATCGGATTATCTTGTTATCTCATTGTCTTGGGTAACCACAACAACAAAGCTGCGTAGGGGCGACGGATTACAGCGTGTCGTCGATGTCACAAGGGGTGAAAATAAATCCGGCGTGTATACCTACATCCTGCAAGGACATCGCTTTTTCCGTCATCATCGCCGTATGTGCGCGACAGATTTCCCGTTCTTCGTTGCATTGCGAAACGAAAAGTAAACACCATTCTGTTTTTTTCCACTCTCTCAGCTCGAGATTTGCTCGAAATTATTCGTTTTTCAAAAAAATCACGCGTGACCGCGTGAATAAAGAAATCGATCGAGACAATACGATACACACCATGTATTTATCGTCATGCAACGTCGCATTTTTTTTCACACCAAGGATAATTAACTCAAGGCAAACTGTTAAAATATACGTAAAATGGACGGGCAAGTGTTTTCTCCGATCGCGTTGTCGCGTTGTCACATTGTCACGTGTTGACCGGGAACCGGATGCAATTAGCTGCTCGTTGCCCGAAGCGAACGCAATGAGCGTAAAATTATGCTCGCACGGGAATGAATCAGGAAGCGGACGTACAATTTGCCAATTTTTCAAAGGTGTGACATTTGAAATATCGCACGACCACGACACACTAATGCGATTTAACGAGGAAGATGATCGATAATGATCGTCCGACTATACGGTGACAAATGTCCAGCGAGTGTGAAGCGAGATAATTACGATCAATTTAACAAACTAAAAGTTCGCCGAGCCGGAATAACAACTTTCAAACAAATTATTTGCACATCGTACTTAATTAAAGGCTAAAGGTCAAGTTTTCCCTTGGCTGTTATAACACGGTTTTTTCTTCTTTTTACGTTACAGGACTGGTATAGAATTATAGTACATGAAAGTTTTGCAAGCATTCATATTCTACGATCAAATCCTGCGCGCGTAATTTGAGAAACAGTGAAATGGTGAAATATCCAGCCGTAATACCGAAAGTTGTAAAGTACACTGGTACATGCAATAAAATCCGGATTGGACGAACTGTCGTGCAGTGAATAGAGTGGCAAGCTCGCGTGACGCAATTTGCAATCATTTTTGTATTGGCTTTAAAAACTTGACAAAATTCCAAGTTGTACAAAAAACATATCTTTCGTTTGGTTTTATTTAATAATTACAAAAATAATATCTTCTCTCTTTTATTACGTATTTATTTTTCATTAAAAAATGGTACGTAACAAAAATGTTTTGGCAGTATACTCTGTTGTTCGTTGTTACACGACAGATGTCGAGATTTTATTCAATTTCTTTTCTTCCGCAAAATTGTTCCACAACGACAACGTGCTTCTCCTTACCATATATGTATACATATATACATATATATATATATATATATATATATATATATATATGACAAAAATGTCAAAGCTCTAAAGTGTTTAAATTAGTAGCGATTAAAGTTCACTATCACACAAAACTGACATTTCGCACGTTCAGGCATAACGATATGACAAATAGTAAAAATGCTACGCGAGAGTCCTCTTAACAACGTCAAGATTATTATACAAACAAATATGCAGTGACATTTTTATTAAGAAACTGTTTCTGCTTGCTTCTATACGAAAATTTCTTTTTACGGTAGGTACAAATGCATAATTGATATCGGAACATTCTATCTAAAAAAGGCATTCGTTAAATCGATATTCGAATTATCGAAAATCTCGAAGTTTACTTTGACTCTTTTCCGCTGATTGATTCTCTCACTGCGCTTACTTTGTGAACGGCTGTTATCGTATATATATTTTGACAGTTGTGCGTATCGAAGAATTAATAGTGTAATACAATGTAATGGTATGCAATGTAAACGTTGTTATAGGAAGTAGGGAAAAAAAAGTTAAATAGTGCGCGCGTCTGTGATGTCTGGTATGACAAAATATATATCAATTCAATAGTGAGATATTAGTCAGCTGTCAAAATAAATTTGTAACGCGCGCGCACACGCACGCACACTAATCAAGGTACTACAAATGACTGTTATAATAATTATAATTTTTTATGTATCAAATAATATTTATAGCAAATTACCGATTTGATTTTGTGTAAAACAAAAGAAAATAATTAATGGAATCATTTAATACGCTTTTTGTACGCAACTTATCATTTCGCTCTAATGTATCTTCGGGAGTACATAGTTTAGTAGTTTAATCCACTTAAAGACATATAGATCACAGGTAGGTGTATATAGGTGCTGCACATATAGGTATATCATGCTCTCTATTCCTGCCCTCAGGATGTCATGAGATTTTGGCTCGACAAGGGGGTGGATGGCTTCCGGGTGGATGCGATACCACATTTGTGCGAGGATGTCAGATTCTTGGACGAACCACTCACGGGTAATCCAAATCCTGATGACTACGGCTATACGCATAAGATATACACAAAGGATCAACTGCGTACCTATGAGATGGTCAAAGGATGGCGAGAAGTGCTAAACGAATATTCGGATCAAAAAGTTCTAATGATGGAGGCTTACGCGAATATGACAATGACGATGAAGTATTATGTGTACGGCGCACACTTTCCCTTCAATTTTGCCTTCATTACCGATACGGATCGAGATTCCAAGGCAACCGATTTCAAGAGATTAATCGACAGATGGATGGTAAACATGCCTGTTTTGAGAGCAACTGCTAACTGGGTGGTAAGTCGAGCGAGAGAAATGTGTCTTTCGAATCTAGAGAAGGAACCAATCTCCAAATATCACTTGATTGACAAAGAGCTTGACATTTTTTAGCATATATTGTGCAATATACTCTTTCTTTTCGTAACGAAGCATATTGCACAATTTACGCACGAGATACGCTATCATATACTATATCTATATACATCTTGGTCTCTACTTTTAAAATTAATATCTAATAAATTAAACCGATAATGTAATTTCACATTATTCCATTCTTTCCGTCGCGCAGGCTGGAAATCATGACAACTCGCGATTGGTCACCCGTTACGGACGGCAACGAGCGGAAGCTGTAACCATGATAACTCTACTGCTTCCGGGAGTGGGTGTAACTTATAACGGGGAAGAAATCGGCATGGAGGACACGTGGATCTCATGGGAAGACACCAAAGATCCGCAAGGTTGCAATGCCGGCAAAGATGGTTACGAGAAAGCATCTCGAGATCCCGTAAGGACGCCGTTCCAATGGGATGACACCACTTCGGCTGGTACGGGTTTATCCAAGCAACTTGTATATAAAATCGCTATGTCAATCTATCAGTTAGATCCACTGAAACGCAACAATTTAAGCTTACTGTTATCTGTAGAAACTAACTGAGATATGAAAATTCACGGAAGCAATTGAGAAAACTAATCTAATTGCAAATCGTAAAGCTATCTTTTGTTAAGTAGAATATCTGAATTATCGAAAAAACAATATGTTACTTGCCATTTTGCATATTTATTAATAATTTTTAAGTAGAAGAATATTTAGTGTTACAATCATCTTTGGAATTTTAATATTGACGAAGGTAAATATCTTACCTTGACCAATATCACCTTGCGAATAGATTTCTTCTCCAAAAATTGAACAATTGATCTGTTAATAAATAGCGAGAAATTTCATTAAGTAATCGTCGGCCACTATAAAAAAACTGATTCATATCAAACGAAGCGCATCGTTTTAATGTCAGTGTCTCGTGTCATGGCCCACATATTAAGAATGAACGCGACATGTTTGTCAGGTCACACGTCACATTTTGAGATTACGAAAAGAAAGTGGGTGAAAAACTTGAGATGAAACAGGTTTCTTATATCGATCGTATTACAACATATTATCGCTGTCAGTTTGAATTTGTCTTTGCAGCGGTATAATCTTGAAAAGGTAAAGGCAATACGTTTGAGAAACTATCGTGGCATCATATATACAATAATCTGTATTAAAAGAACAATTATTTGAATGTGACATATCATATGTATAACTATTCTGTTAACGAAATCTGTTTTACATTTATAATTTTAGGATTCTCTACAAATTCGACAACGTGGCTACCGGTTAACAAAAACTATGTGACACTTAATTTAGCCGCGCAAAAAAAACAGGACAGCTCCTACTATGCTCTTTATAAAGCGGTTGCTGCTCTACGAAAATGGCCTGCGGTTAAAAGTGGAGCCTTAACCACGAGGTTATTGGACGATGATGTCCTCGCTTTTACCAGGTAAAGTAAAGTATAACAAGAAAGCCGTATAACAAGTATGCCGTTATCTTCTAATAAAATTGTTTAAGTGCGTTTTAGATGTTAAAAAATATATATATATATACATATACATATACACATTCATCTTTTTACTTTTTACTCTTTATTTCAGATTTTTGTTAGCATATGTATATTATACTTTTTAATCTTTAATTTTTCTGGCGAGACGATTTTTCTAACATAATTAAAATTTTTTATTAAAATTAAATGTTAGAGTTGAATAAAAATACGATGTACGTGTTATTACAGAAAAATTGATGGAGAGCAATCGGTTTACGTAGTGGTAAACTTTGCAAATAAAGAAAAAACTGTTGATTTATCAGTACTTGTTGACACATCAAATGAATTAAGCGTTTATTATGCTACTACAAATGCTCACCATCTTATTGGGTAAATATACTTTTTCTTCGCACATAGCGCATAATAATAATGACATACATTATAAAATAAAATACATGACATACATAATAGTATTAATGCATAAGAGATGCGTATGCTGTATGTATATTATCTCTTTATCTCGAACGTCTTTATTTCATGTTTCCACTTCTTTTCAAATATATAATAGGAACGTTATCAAAGATGTTCGCAACTTGAAGATTCCCGCATCAGGAGCTGTGATATATATTAGCGCCATGTAAGTAAAAAGCCGTGGAAATGAATATTTGAAACGAGGCATCATATTTTTCAACGTAATTATATCTGAAGTTCTCTAGACGAAAAGGCGAAATTACTCAATCTTTAAAATATAGTTTGATTTGTAATCTCCATAATCTTTTTTGCCGTTATTCTATATCCATGTAACACTGCTGTTTCATTTATCCACGTTCTACATTTATCTTATTAATTGGATTTGTTTATAAAAAATAATATTACGTTTATAGATAACAGCATAGATTTATTGTTTATGAAACTGTAACAAAGTAGAAATAGTCAAAGAGAAATAGTGAATGATTACGTTAGAAAATAAAATATATAAAATAAATATTAATGTTAAATGTTTCAAGTAATATATAAAATTGCAATATCGCATTTTTATATGTACATAATTTCTGTACATACATACATATATACTGCATATATATTTAATACATTTCTTCGATTATGATATGTAATATATGATCTAAAATCTTTAAATGTGTATGTATGTGAAATAAAATTGAAATTTTAAAAAGCAACCGCTATATTTTTTTCCATTATTTCATGTGTTATACGCGAGAATCACGCAAGAACCAATATGAACCCTTGAAGGTTAATTCTATTTACGTTAAAGGATGCCCTAAAGGATATATATTGAGAATTTAATCTCCAATTCCGCTTTTCGCAACATTTGTCAATACCTAACATTTCTCGACAGCTGAATTATAGCCGTACCCATTACTAGAACCTATATTCTTAGGACATGCAATGCACCCTAAATCGAAACCATTATTTCACGAGAAGAATTCCATTTTATGATTTTCTATAAAAGAAAATCTGCCATTTTTCAATCCCAAATTAAAAGTTACCATCAGTTTGTCATCATAAAAATAATATATAATTAATATAATTATTATTCAAATTGATGTTGATATAAAACTTGTTTCATAAATGCCCAATTAATATATTAGATTTCTATGTCAAAATTTAATCAATAAACGTGAATATCACTTATGTACGCTTTACTAATAAGATAACAATTATCGAGAGTAGTTAAATCACAATTAAATTATTTTAGAGAATTATTAGTAAATGCGTGTATATTTAATTTACAAAAAAGTAATATTTTAAAAAACGTTTTCGCAACAGTGATAAATATCAAGGCTTAATACTTAATACCTCAATGGTATGATTATCTATGTGTCACTGATAATTTTGTAAACAAAAAATAGACACGCAATACCGTGAACCATGGCAATTACCGTGCGGCATGAAATTTTCAAGATTTCATCATATGTATAACAATACATCTTGTCAAGTGTAATTAAAAGATATTCTCCCTCTCTCCTATGTAATTAAACTTCAATATTACACAATAATTAATAAAACTTTAAGATTTTCTTAAGGAAAAATTACCTACGATTTAATTAAAGATTGGATCTTTCAATTTCCAATAAATGGGTCGGCAATTCAAACTATAATTAAATTTTCTCACAAGAGAAATGTAATAAAAAATTCATTCTGAATAAGAGGATAGATAAATAAAGAGAAATTTCCGTTATTTCTGTTATTATGCGCAAAATTTCAGATCGCTAGAAATTTTAAGCCAATCTCATAAAGAAATTAATTGTATTAACAGTTTAAAAAAACATATATAAAGTTCTGCAGTGTTTATGTTCTTTTTTTTTCTTTTTAATTTGTCTACGATTTTTTCCTTTTTTTTTTTTTTTTTTTTGTAAATTTGTTAGGATTGCTAGGGCTAACAAAAATTCGGAAATTGATGATTATATCTTTTCCCAACTTGCATTTTACTGCCAGCTTTAAGATGAATCACATTTTACGTAATTTTATTCGCGGAAAACGGCAGATTATTATTCGCGATCCGCATTGCCAGCGTACCCCAGATAATGCTACCTCTCGAACAATCTGACAATTATTACAAATTCACGAGATTTTTTCAGCATGTTCGATAAGGTTCTTTCTTCCAGTGTTATCCGCCTCACGTATAAATTGTGATGGGAAACGTGCTACGTAATCATAAAGATGCTCGTTGTAAAATACTTTTATAAACGAAGTCACACTGTCGAGAAGTATTAATGCTTCCAATTGTAAATTCTAATGTAGATAGCTAATATAATATGCAACAATACATATATTGTATAATTTACAAACGGAACAACAAACGGCAAAATATTCGCAGATGGGAAATCATGATCGTAATCGTACTGCTTTCCTGCGTTTTCCTGGAAGGACTGATCCGATGACTATGTTAACTATGATACTGCCAGGCGTAGCAGTGACATATTACGGAGAAGAAATTGGAATGGTTGATAAGATAGACATATCTTGGACAGATACGCAGGATCCTCAGGCTTGTAACGCGGGCAAAGATAAGTACAAAAGTCAATCTCGCGATTCCGTCCGCACACTATACCAATGCACAATGGGATCGTTTCATAAATTTAGGTATAAATTGTGTGAAGTTATAAATTTAATCTTTATTTTAAAATTTCGTTACATTTTCTTATAAATGTACATAAAAAATTAAGAACGATGGAATTATTATCGTGATGCGTGACAAGAAAATTTTTTAATCTAAAGAATCATTTCGACTTCTAAAATATCGTATTGTATATATCAAAAGAAATCAAATTTTATTAAAAGAGAATTTAAGCTTTAAAAGAAAATTTATATTATTAAAAAAAAAACAAGGTGTTTTTCTAAATATTATTAACACGGAATAAATATTATAGAGAAATTAATTCCAAATTATAAAAAAGAATTGCTCAGTGATAAAGTACCGTTTGTTAATTGTATTGACAGGTTTCAGTAACACAACTAAAACTTGGTTACCGGTTCACGATAATTATGTCAAAGTAAATTTATTACTACAAAGAAATATTGAAAACTCTTATTAGGCATCATGTTTATCGCGCTCTGACGCAGCTACATCAAAGGCACTCAAATTTGGATCGTTAACTACTGATGTCATAAACAACACTGTTTTGTATGTTCGTAAAACGAGCAAAGAGGCTGTAACATTATTAATAAACTTTTCAAACAAAGAGAAACAGTAGATTGATTTAACAAAAGTGTTAACGGGTTTCAAGAACAGTAAAGTTAAAGTTGCGAGTGTAGATTCCGGAATAAAACAAAAGTAAGTATCAATATTTGATAAAATTAAAACAATTTAAAATTATTGTAAAAAAATTAATCTCTTATTTCTGTGTATTTCAGTCAGGATGTTGAACTGAACAAAATTAATATTCCACAAGCAGGTTCAATAGTCTTCATAGCTAACTCTAAAGCTCCACCAAAATACGTTGCTTTCCTTCAAACAATTCTATTATTGCTATTTTCTTTGATAATAACATTGTACAAATAAGAAATAATAAAAATAATTAATTTTTTTCGCTATAATTATAATATTACAATAAGAAATTACTCCTATTAATCATATTCAAAAGGTGTTGTTTGACTTTATTAATTATAATTGTTATAATTTATCAATTAATGACGTCGGTATTAATAAATTAATTCCTTTTATATAAAAAATTTGCGCTAAAAAAAACGTTGAATTCAAAAGTGTGATATAAATGCGACATACAATATATCATAAATGTGCAGCAGCATAATAATAATTATTTTTGAATGTTTACATGGTCTGTCCCAAACGTAATGAGACTATTTTTGGTGCCAATCAGAATTGTCCTCGGAGGGTGGATCCATTGGACGGGGGCTTTTGATGCGGGATGTCAAGTATACAATCAGGTATATCCTTTCTAGTTGCCACCGAGTCTTTCTAGCAGTTGATACCGTCAGTAAAGTGCGTTGTAATTTTTGTGTCTTATCACGGTCGAAAATTCAGCAATCTCGAGCAGCGATCAAATTCTGCGTGAAACTGAGAAAATCTCATTTCGAAACGTTGGAGATGTTGAGAACAGTTTATGGGGGTGCTTCGTCTTCAGAATTTGATTGCGTAACACTGCTCAAAATACAGCACAGTCTGTACTGAATTTTCACCCGTGACAAGACACAAAACTTACAACGCACTTTGCTGACGATATCGACTGCTAGAAAAGCTCGGAGGCAACTGAGAAGGGTCAGAT